GTCTAGGGTACAAGTCCTTTCTCCCACTGAGCTGTTCTTTAGGGCTGACATATCAAAGATGATTCCCTCAGTCTATCACCTGAGCTGTGAGATCTCCAATTTCAGTATGTGTTAAAAGGGACCAAGCGGCAATCACTTCAGCCCAGAGTTCCCCTTTCTGGTGAGGGCCTTCACTACGTGGACAGCGCTTAGTTTTGATAAGAAATTCCACTGCAGGCTTTCTTAATGAAACTTGTATCAGACTTAGCAGAGGCTTGTGAATAGCTTTTGATCTCAAAGAATTAGTGACAATGGAAGAACATTGTCTCAAGAGAGTACTTATCCAGCTCTAGCAGTGCTGTGTTCAATAGCTTGCCCTCTTTTCCCAGCTATAATAAAAAAAAAAAATCTCTGCTTTCTGCAAACCTCACCTGTCAGGTAGTAGGCTATCATGGTTGAAACAACATATTAATCAGGTTCAGCTGTCAATATCAAACTGTTTAGCTGTTAATATCAAGAGTAAAACAGGGATAAATATTCCATCCTTGGTAATCTGTAATGATATTAGAATTTTTTTTTTTTTTTAAATTTTGAATGTGCATTCAAAGTAGTTTTTTTCCTCAGCCAGCCCAATGGTATGAGAATGATTCTCAGAGGAAAAGATTGAGTTGTACTGTTGAAAACGTGTGGTGAATCACAGTCATAAAGCTTTGAAAATAAATGCGGAGACTAGCCACGCAGCTTTGCAGACTTTACACGGATTGAAGGAACTTGCCCCAAGTATTCAGACAATATGTGTGCTTTGCATGTTAATTGAAGCTGACTGGTATCCAGACTGCGGTGGTGTTAATCTTCTCTGCAGTGATATGTAATGCTATTTCAAAAAAAAAATTGACAGCATAAAAGCAAGCCCTCTAGCTAAGGAGGTAAATATTTGTACACAGATACTGTTTTATTTATAATGGAGAGGAGAATGTTTGGAGCGGTTACTCAGAAATTTTACATTTCAAGAACACACTGAAAACAGCTTCACTTTCTCCTGTTACTCAGTTTGGATCTAGAGTGGCTTTGGGTCTTTGAGCTGTGTAACTTTTATGGTCTGAGTTCAGTTGCCCAGTTTCTAGACATTTGCTTTCTATCTCCTGAATCTTATGATAGTTAGTACTTTAGGGAAACATTAAAAAGAGCAGGAGCGGGGCTGTGGAACAGCGTATGCTTTGGATAACCTCTCACCTTCACTGAGAACCCAACCTGCCTGCTTTACACAAATGAATTGCTCTGCTGAATTCAGTGGGATTATTTGCAGATACTCTCAGGGGTTTTTACGGTGGGTGCATACAGATACTTTCCTTGGAAGGGCAGTGCGGGAGGCCGTATTCTGGAATTGGCCCTTTTCCAAGATTTTATACTTACTTGAGCTCCTTGTGGGGTCAGAGGAAGTTAAAATGCATAGCATTGCTCAGGACTAGGCTTTTCCTTTGGGCAGTTAAGGTATTATTCCGAGGACTAAAATGTGAAATAACTGTGCGTAGTACAAAGGTTCTCAGACTTTTTCCATAATATTTGGCACATGTTCACAGAGAATTTGCAGACTGGAGGAATAGCTTCCCTTGGAAATCTCATTAAGAAAGGCATTAGCTGTATCTTAATATAATTAAACAACTAGATTTAGAGCTGATATTGTGTGACGAACCAGTTCTTTGTAACTGCTGTGCTGATGACTGTAATCTGAGAAACTTTTGGCTGACCTATAGCCTGGCTCACTTGTGGCATGTGCCATGGTCTTAAGGCAGCTTAATGGTAGAAATGGTTAACACCTCCCTTCTGGCCTGGGATCTCCTTATGCTCAGGAGTTGGCTGCTTCTCCTACAGCTAGCTCCATGGGCTTCAGTCGAACTAGGTCTGGTAGATCTGTGCAAATTTTTCTGAACTTGAAAGGAAAAGGAGAAAAAAAAAGAAACAATGAAAACTTAGGTTTTGATCAGTCTATAATGAACTTTTTTAAACAGAACAGAACAAAACATGCTTTGGTTGAAAGAAGTGTTTTGTTCATACAAAACAGACAGTTACAATAAAAGCAAAGTAAATGATGAACTGCGTTCCTTAAATTGATTGTGATAGTTATATCAGTATGTTTCTTTTAGTCAGTAGCCTGACAGACAGCGTTTTCCTGTGAAACGGTACGTGTGACTGAACCCTACTCACCTGCTGCAATGACTAGTCTATGGGGTAAAGATAGGAAGTCAGCATCTTGCCCTCTGCTTCCATTGCTTTAATACAAGCTCCTAGAAATAAAACATGTTAAAAGTTTGTGGTAATGTTTTTATTTCAGTCAAAATGGTTTGGTGAATTTGATTGAATTCCGGAATTACTTCAGCCACCCTGAAACAGAATTTTTCAGCTAATAAATTTGCCTGGATGCCCTTCAGTGGGACAGCCTGGCCTTAACTTTATGATTGCATTTAGGACTATTTCAAAAAAATAGAGATACATGGAATGCATTAAAGACAAACTATCACCGGGCTCTTATTTAGTAAAGGTAACTGGCAGCAGCTGCTGTGACTCAATGAATCAGAAATAGCTATAGATAATGGAAGGTAAGACAAAGACAATGTAATTTTTTTTCACATGAGAGCGGCTGATCGTATGACAAGGCTTTATTATAACAACCGTACTTGTGTTTTTCCAAATGATTGATGCACGCAGTACTCTGCATAATCTTCTTTGATGATGAATGTTGGTGCCATGAAGCAACCGTTACTCACTGTGCTATTATTGAACATGAATTTTGAATGACTTGTGGCATAGAGCTGCCGGGTACTTAAATCAATGAAATAAAAGTCAGGAAGAGCCAAAGATGATGTTCCTCCTGCAATATTAACTCCTGTGGCTTGTGTACAAACAATGTTTCTGGTAACTAGTTAAGGGGTCACATCTCTGGACTCCCCATACACAGGATGAAGGAAGGAGGAGACATATGAAGCAATGCTTACTGTTTGGACGTTAAAGATGTTTTGTATTTTTCCTCTTCCTCCCCTCCTGCATTGGCAAGAAAAGCTGGGAATGGGTAGGAGGGATCAATGGTTTGGCTTTAGGGAGGAGGTGAATTAATCTTCCATGTGTGCTGCCCGAGGCTGGAATCAACCTGAAAGGTGGGGAACCACCTTTTCTAGCTCTGCTCATCAAACAACGTGTTGCTGCTCACAGCTGGTGGTGCAGTTACATAGAAGAGGGGTATGGGAGCACCGAGCCATGTTTCTTCTTCCATGGGGCTGAGGTTGCTCCATGGATTCCCCGAGGTGGGTTCCAGGATTGGAGGGAAACATGCTGGCGTAGTTGAATTCTCTCCACCTGGCTTCTAGAGATGAGAAGAGTTGTGTTCAGTGTATTTGTACATCACTGACCTTCCCATCTCCATTCTCACATCAGGAATGAAGTATTGAAGAATACTTTTGTTTTTTGACTGCCGACAAGTAGATGAGTTAATCCTCCCGGAGATGGAGGGTCCACCTCTTGCTCAAAATTCTTTGTAAAGCTAAATATGTAGCTGTGTGTCAGGAGTACCGCTGTCAGTAGGATTGGCATTTATGTGACCTAGCCAGAGGAACAATTGATATTTTTTATGATTTTTGTTCTCTACAGCCTCACTGTTTATGTGGGGAAAGGTGGGGGAAGGAAACCCAGCTGGAAAGAGCTGTTGGTGCAGTGCACACAGGCAGACTGACTGCTCCTCAGCTCTGCCATGAAATACAGCCCCACGGAGACTTGATTTCTCCTGAAAGCACTGATGCCACAGGTGCATTGTGATAGCCAGGGAATACAGATACTCACTTCATTTTAAGAACTTCATGTACATGTCTACTGTGGGAGGTTGGGCTCCCACTACAGTTAATAAAGTGAGAGCAGGCACCTATATTGGGCTCTAAGTCTGAATGACCTTGTGGAAAAGGTTATTTTTCTCCATGGACTATAGAAAAAGCTGAGGAAGAGTAGTCTCCTAAGTAGAAGACAAATTTTAGATGACATGACTACTCCTCTACATTTTTACATCTTGAACAGTACAAGTTAACAACTTGTGATTTCTGCTACGCTGTTAAATGTATATTTGAATGTTTATTTAACTGCTGTTTAACAAGGATGAAGACATTCACAAAAATGTTTTAACATGTGAAATCTTTATCCCATTGTCCTTTTAAAGGAATGATAATTTTCTTCTTCTAATTGTAGGCATGTATGTTCTTGGATTGTTGAAAATATTTCATTTTACTCTTTAAAGTTACATTTTCTTCTCCTCTTTCTTCCCTTTTTTGTTTTCCTAATTTGCCACAGAAAGTAGAGTGAAGGAGAGGAAAAGACAAAAGAAATTTTCACAAGTATATTAATTGTCTGTGATACAGGAGACACTTTTTACACAAATTTTTGTTTTCAGAAAGTCTGTTTCCCCCCCCTAATAATAATAACCTAATAAAAAACCTTCCATGAGTTCTTTTTAATATAGATGGGATAGTCTAAGGGTGACCTCCTGACCTAATAAAAAGCATAGCATTTCCTAACCTTGTATAGTATTTCTGCAACAGTATTTCTAAATATACTCCAATACAATTTTGCATAAGTGTACACCAATCATCATAAATGGCTGACATTTGTCAACAGATACTGCTCAAGAAGTTAATTCCTTTCTTATGGCTGGGATGAAAATGCCCTTTCCTAGCTCCTGTGTTAAATTCCAAGTGATTTCTATTTTAACTTATTTCAGTGTGAGTAAGGGACAGTCATAACTCGCTGACTTATTTGAGCCTAAATATAATGTGATGTTTGCCTGGCATCATTGTGACTGATCTTTGAAAAGTGATTTTTGTTGATTTCTTGTATTTGGCTTAAAGAACCTTGTAGATGTGCAAAAGTTTTCACCTGCCGATCATGTATGCTAGGTCTCATGCTGGATCGAGTTTTGAACTGACGCTCACTCTCAAACCTATTTCTCTTTGTACTAATCAGATTTCTGTTTTCCTTTTCTCTAGGCTGCGGTCTTTGGTGAAGCAGTTGGAGAGAGGGGAAGCTTCAGTTGTAGACCTAAAGAAGAATTTGGAATATGCTGCGACTGTTCTTGAATCAGTATACATTGACGAAACTAGGTGAGTTAACTACAGACATCAGCACTCTTGTTATGTCTAGTACCAGCGACACAAAATTGTAATTTACACGTCAGTTGGGAAATTTGTTTTAGCCAAGATTATTACTCACAGACAATATGTTTTTAATCATTAAAATATTGTAGTCTCTGTAAAGCAGATCTTCAATCCTTGGTCTAAAAGCTGCTTTAAGTTTCCTGGGGCAAGGGAGGAGATCAAAAGCAATCATAAATTTAATATATATTCTCTCGGAGAAATGTTTTCATAATAATTGTGTCCCACTTTTTCTGAAAGTTTCTAAATTCCTATTCCTCTGTTCCTTTTGAATAGTGTTAAATCTTTTCGCTTGTATCAAGTCTTTGAAATTAAAAAAATTGTTACTCCAGGTCATGATAGAGGCAGACTGGTAAGACGTTGCAGAGGAGTTCCCCGCTCTGCCATTTTCCCAGTGCTAAATGCACTTGTAGAGTCACCTCAGATGACCAGAATGGGAAAGGAGAAGACTGTATGATACTAACTGGGAAGTTAGACATGACCGTAAATAAGCTCTGAAGGGCAGAAAGGTCAGGAATATTGATGAGCTGAAGATGAGAAGTCAGTGGATGATTACGTAGTTGTGCTTCAGAAGGCTGATACTTCTTATTTGTCGGCCTAGTAGTGAGCTTCACAATCTGGCATTTAACTACACAGGAGAATAAACAATCTGTTGAAGACTTGTACAATTGTGTTTCATTAGGGCTGACGAACCAAAGACTTTTAACAACGGCTTTAATTAGAATATGTGAGAGTTTCTTTTTTGTTAATAATGTTGCAATGCTCTCCAAGGGAGTCTGTTTACCCATCTTTTTCCTCCCCCTTCTAGGCGTTTACTGGACACAGAAGATGAGCTCAGTGACATCCAGTCCGACTCTGTGCCCTCAGAGGTCCGGGACTGGTTGGCTTCTACCTTCACGCGGCAAATGGGGATGATGCTCAAAAGAACAGAGGAAAAACCCCGGTTCAGGAGTATTGTCCATGCAGTACAAGCTGGGATATTTGTGGAAAGGTAAAGGGGCATGTAATTACTTCGTTCTAGTAACTGCCCAGGTACTGCAGATTGCACCTGTAGTGTTGAATGAAGAATACTTTAATATGCTTCTAATGATGTTTCTACACAGATCTGGATAGCACCTCGAAACCTGGGATTAAGTAATAGATTGCAACCTGAAACAGCACATACTGATCTGTTCTTAGCTTAATACAGATGTAATAGCACAGTTGGAATAATTTTGACAGAGAATATGCACCTCTGCATAGCATTAGGTCAAGAGTGACAGCTTTTAAAATTCGGTCAGCCCAGACCAAGCCCTCCCTTGCCTCTGTTTTCCTCTGTGGTCTAGTATTTCTTATGAAGAACTGCTAAGAAACCGAAGAAAATCCTGTATCATAGTATTACTGGAATGAACTATAGATGAAGACTGATGTAAAAACTTTGGAGCTCAGGGAGGATTTCAAAAATCCACTGACTCCTCTCAGCCTTCTCTGTTGTGATTTGTATCAGAACCTACTGCTAAAACTGATTTCACTCTCTGAACCCTTTAAAACATTTAGTCATTTCAATTTGGACTCACTTCCAATCTTACCTTTTCTTAACAAGTAACCACTCTTCGCTGACATTCTTCTTTCAAGCTAGAAGGAGGGCTGGCACATGTGAAACTGTCAGCAGACTTTAGGCAGCATGAAAGACAGCAGGTCCCAGGTCTCTACAGCAAAACTCAAGTCAGGAATGGAAGAGCAGAGCACCTTTCACTGTTCATCACAATCACAGTGACAGCCTACCAGCCCTCTGTGCAGGAGGTTGGAGGTACCAGACAATGGGCCACAAGCCACACAGACACACAGAAGCCTCCTCCGGCATGTCTGTAGCCGATTTTTTTATCAGTGTACCAAAGTACATGTGTTAAGAGTGGCAGCAAATTGTGGTAAGACTAAACCTGTCATTTCTCCTTGGAACAGGTTTCTCCTAGGTTTGACAGGCTATTTGTGAATTAACTTGCTCAACAAGGAGGTAAATGAACTACAGAGAGCTGGCTGTAGGAGGCTGTTTTCCAGCTGATCTGAATCACTGTGGCCCCAAGGAGGAAGTGTTCAGATATGATATGGCACCAGAGGAGGGTTGTGGCTCTCCTGAGCTAAGGGAGAGGGACTCTGCCTGAATTGTCACTTAAGAGAAGGCTATAGGGCTCCTGACTGGAGGGAGGAGGGGGTAAGATATTCTGTAATTTGGGGAATGGGTGAATTTAATTCTCCAAAGGGGGCTGACTTTTTTCAGGTCTGAGTGCAGAACATGACAAAGAAAAAGGGAAGTGAAGGAAGACTTCACACGGGATCATTTCAGATGGGAGAAGAGAGCTTTCCATCATCTCATTTTAGTTCTACATTGCTTAAGTGCAAAAAAGGGTGACATGCGGAAAGGCATTTTAGCTCTGACAGTGCTTCTGCATTCACCAAGCCTGTTAAACACAGTGTGGCCTGAAAACAAGTTTAAAATCTGGTACATACTTCGGTGCTTTGTTTGGTATGGTTGCAGATGTTCATTATTGCCTTATTCTTTCTCTCTCTCTCCCTCAAACACACACACACGGCGAACACCCAAAAGATTTTATACCAATCTTAAAATAATGCAGACAAAAGTAACAGCTGTACTGAACTGGAGCTGATTTATTGCAGACAACAAATGATTTCTGAAGTACATTCAGAATTAGCTTACATGTGGACCAGCAAGGACTAAGGGAACTGAAAGAGCAGTATGGTCATATGCGGTGGAAAATGGGGAACATCTTGTTTATTTGAGTGTAGCCTTTCCCTCTGATGAAGACCTGATATTGGCAGATTCTCTGTGATGTCCTGCCAGGTAACCAAGCTGTGAGATACTGGGGAGTGTATAGTCTCAAGTTAGGCTATACAGTAAGAATGGTATAGAGAATATTGTGCAAGTTAGGAACAAGAAGGAAGAAAAAAAACAAATTGCAGTTAGGGTTTCCTGGGCTAAATAAGGTCTCCTGTAATGGTCTGTTGCTTTATGTTTTTTGTTTGTTTGTTTTGTTTTGTTTAATTCTATTTATGTGTTGCCTTATCTGTTTTATCTTGGTAGAATGTACAGACGGACTTCAAATATGGTTGGTTTGAGCTACCCACCAGCTGTAATTGGAGTGCTAAAGGTAATCCCAATAAAAAGGGGGGGGTGTGTGTCTGTACAAAGCATTAGGATAACACTGCGATATTTGACTTGGTAAGGGGGTCTTAGTACTTGCCCTTTCCTTCTCTCTGACATTTAGTTTCGTTCACATACATTAATCATTTACTGGCCTAAGGGAATGTCCTTTCAATAAAGGAAAGAATAGAGTTCAAGGCTGCGGCCATTTTCAGGTTGTGAAGGTTACAGCTCTGTTCTAGATTACTGTGATTAAACTGAGGACCTAGTAACATGCTGGAATCAGTCACAACCTCCCACAGGGAAGAAAGAAAACACAGATGGAGAGAGGTGGAGAAGGAAAAGGATTGCTGTGAGAGAACGGAATTTCTTATATTGCTCAGCTTCAGCTCTTCAAGGTGATAATCAGTTTAGGAATAATGACCCTTTTATGAGTTTTGAGGTTTCAGAGGAAAACTGATTAGTCAGAAGTAGTCTGAAAAAAATAAGGTTCAATCCATGGGACAATTGCAAGGTTCTTGATTTAGGCAGGAATTATCAAGACTACAAACACAAGTTAGCAACCAACTGCCTACATAGCAGCTTTGCAGATTACATGTTGCATGTGGTTCAACCATGCCATGCAATGGTGAAAAAAGGTGATACAATGGGGCAATACACAGGGACATTACATGTAGAGCTCATGAAGCGATCCTTCTGCTCTACTCCACACTGGAAAGACCTACAGTTAGGGTACTGAATCCTTTTTGTTTTGGATAGTACAACTCATCAAAAGATGTGGAGGAATTGCAGAAGGCCCATTGAATGCAAGAAGAATGATCAAACATGCCTTTCATGTACAGAATCAGAGCATCCATCCACACCTTTTTCCAGCTGCAGGTTGACAAGTGTTAGCTTCACTCCTGCAAATGGGATCTAAAGTCTTTGTTCTTTTAGAACTACACCCCATAGCCAGCTTATGAGGGAACATATAACGGGACCTCTTCTGAGTTCCTCAGCAGTAACAAAACAATGCAAGACCCATCAGCTACTCTCAACTGACTTAAACTGTACAGAATCCCTCTCCTCTTTGTATGTTTCTAAATGATTAAGGGTCATAAAGAGAACTGATCATGGTAGAGTAGGTTAAAGCACATCAATAACAACAAAGGCATTGACTAATTTTGCTCAGGGTGAAATAATGCCTGCTTAGCCACTGTGAACTCTAGGATGTATTTTTTTCCAGAACTATTTTGAGAACATGTCTTTGCCTGGATGGCCTTGGGGTTGGTAGTGGATGTGGTTGAAATGGGAGTTACTTGTTTTGAAGAAGTCTTCTGTCTTTGAAATAATACTTCATCATAAATGGGACATTTCTCAGTCCCATCTTCTTAATGGAAAACAGTACATTTTGTTGCTTGCTTCAGTCCAGTAAAGCCAAGTAAAAAAACCTTACAACTACCCGACTACTTGGTGTGCTCCGTAAAATGAACTGATGGTTTAGGCATGCAAAAGCGTGTAGGAGTGTACCACACACGTCTCTTCAGCTGTTCTGGATTGCCATAATCAACATTCCCCTCAGAGTCGTGGTAATAAGGACAAGGATTGAGATGACATGGAGTCAAAACTAGCTTATTTTTGAACTATGTGCTTTCCTTTTTGCTGCCATGGCCAACAGGATGTCTGCACTGAGTAACCCAAAGCTGCGGAATCAGCTTGGCAAAATGAGGTTGGTCTTAATAAAACAATGAAATACTGCAGCTTCTGCAAAAAATGCAGATGGAGTGGTAGCAGTGCAAGTCTTAGGTGTATAATCTCTCTCACTTTTTCAGTGGATGAGAAGTTAGGCAACTTTGTGAATTGATTGCACAGCATCCCTCTCTATATTGGGTACCGATTTTTCTACTGCAGTAGCCTGTTGCCTTTCTGCATGACGTGGGTGTGATGATGTAAGACCTGTTGCCACAAAAGGGACAATCAGCCTTGTCTCTCACTTGAATAGTGGCCATGCATACCATTCACACAGACATGTTTGAATAAGTAAGTATGTTAATTTACCCAGTAAATTGTGGTGATCTGCTGTTCAGTGGTGTAGTGCTGGAGACAGAACTTCATATTAACTAGCTGCTGAAGTAGTTAACCTGCTTTGGATGTTAACCGTAAGTCAGCAAATTAAAAACTCTCTAAGACTCAATTTGGAGTTTTAGAAAGCAGGCATTCTTTATTGCGGTGCCAGGCACGCAGGGGATCGCTCCACCTAGTGTGCGCACCGAGCTGCTCAACTATAGGAGTTACGTACAATTAGAATATGCATATTCATTAGATTTCCAAGAAATGACTAACATATTCATGTTATTTCCTGGAACTCATTAACATATGTAAAAGTCTTTGACGCATGCACTCTTATGTCCATTGGTGGTCTTTCAGGGTCCTCTGGTGGTTGTCAGTAGTCTTCCTCACTGTGTCCGCTAGTTGAACTCAGTCTTCGCGGATGCAGTTTGTTCTTTGGCTCGGTTGCGCATTTTGCTTACACAAACTAGCTTATTTCAGCATAGCTTCCTTATTATTCTACTCCAAGATACAAAGTTTCAAGGTCGTCTTTTGCCTACTGAATGTTTAGCTCATCTATTCACAGGGTACTTCTACTGAAGGTCTAGCTTATCTACAGAGTACGTCAACCTTGGCTACATTACTCCAATAGAGAGAACCATGTCTCTTCAGTGTTCTTTTATACTCGGTATTAATCCCTCCTTTTCTTTTGAGGATTTGTAGCTAGCAAGCTACAATCCTCATCTTATTAAGAGAGTTAATAAAGTTCAATGGTTAATGGGACAGTGAACAAGATTTGATGGCAAGGTATACTTGATTATTTACTGCATAGAAGACAGGGTCAGACAAAATTGTAGTATATTAACAGTATATGTAAAGTTGGGTTATTCGTTTCATCATGTACTAAACCTTTATATACAGTATAATTATAAGCAACAGACATGTTAAAGTTAGAGTTAGTAAAACTACAACTGGATGAAGCATAAGGTTAAACACTCCCGTTGCTGTTGGTGACCATCCAAGAAGTATACAAACTATTATGATAATTATAATTATTATTATTATGTTTTGTATCAAACTTGCTAACCATCCAGTTAAGGTTCATCCACTAATTTTTGAAGAATCTGATTCAACCAGCTTGTTTCCGCTGTCTCCCTAAGGATTCTAGTATTTTGAGCTACTTTTTTTCATCTTATTCAATTGCATATTTAATTCTTGGGTTACATTCAGGATATGTATATAACAAGTTCCTCGCTAAGATGTAAGTAACCACACAACCCATGTTCATGGGCTAATAATAGATCTAATGCCAATCTAGATTGTTGGTTTGTACCTGTTTGTTTATTGTTAATAATCCTTCATTAGTAGCATTACCCAAAATTTATGGTCGTCCGTACATCAACTCGTATGGGCTATGTTGTCTACTCCGTGGTTGGATTCTAATTCTTAAGAAGGCTAAAGGCAAAGCCTGTGTCCAATTCATCAAGGTTTCTTGACATAGTTTGCTTAAGAGTCTTGAGGGTATAATTCATTCTTTCTACTTTACCACCAGATTGAGGCCGGTAAGGGGTATGTAAATCCCAACTAATACCTAACAATCTGCTTATTTCAGTAATTATCTTGGCTACAAAATGTGGACCTCTATCTGTTGACATCCCTAAAGGTACTCCAAAACTTGGAATTATTTCTTTCAACAATATTTTCACTACAACTCTTGCCTTATTGGTGCGACATGGAAAGGCCTCGGGCCAACCTGCATATGTATCCACGAGGACCAGCAAATACATTAGCCCTCCTTTTCTTGGCAATTTGGTAAAATCTATTTGCCAATATTCTCCAGGCGTCTGTCCCTCAATGGTTTTTCCAAATTGAATTTTATTCTGTGTTTTTGGATTGTTTCTACAACATATTTCACATCTTTGTGTGACTGATCTAATAGTTTCCACCATGTTCCTGCTAATAACCGACTTCTGCAAATGTTTTAGCAAATTTTCAGTTCCCCAGTGCACAGCGTTGTGTTCTTCCTTCACTAAATTTTTCATGAGGGAATGAGGTATTACTACTAGACCTGTAGGGGTAACTGCCCATCCATTTTCCTGTCTTTCTGCTTGTAAAGTCTCAATTAATTTTAAATCTTGCTTATCATAAATAGGGTTTTTCTGGAGGAAGATTCTCTTCTCTGGCACTATAGCTAACATTTCCTCCTCTATGCCTTTTCCTGCAGCCCGCTTTGCAGCTAAATCAGCCAGTTTATTTCCTCGCTCCTGAGTGGTTCATCCCGATTGATGAGCTTTACAATGCATAATGGCAAAAGCAGCAGGAGCTTTTATACTTTCTAGCAAATTCAAAATTTCTTCCTTATGTTTCACCTCTGCCCCTTGTGCGGACAATAGCCCCCTTTCTTTCCAGATCGCTCCATGCGCATGCACTACTCCGAAAGCATATTTCGAGTCAGTCCAAATATTTACGCGCTTGTCTTTACTTAACTGCAAAGCCCGAGTGAGGGCAATCAGTTCAGCCTTTTGGGCCGATGTTTTAATGGGCAATGCTTGTGCCTTTACCACCGTCCCGACAGTGGTAACTGCATATCCTGATACCCGCTTTCCTCCATAAGGCTACTGCTGTCCGTGTATAGCTCCCAGTCTGGATTCTGCAAGGGAGCATCCTTCAAGTCGGGCCTGCTTGAATAGACTGCTTCAATGGTCTGCAGGCAGTCATGTTCAGGTTTGCCTTCTTCTTGTCGAGCTGAGAGGAACATGGCAGGATAAATTACGGCAGTAGTCTTTAAGGTCACGTCATCTGGTTCTATTAGTACCACTTGATATTTTAGCATTTTACTAGGAGACAGCAAATGTCCATCCTTCTGGTCCAACACTGTAGTCACCATGTGTGGAACATAAACAGTTATCTTTTGTCCCATGGTAAGCTTCCGAGCCTCTTGTATTAACAGTACTGTTGCAGCCACTGCTCTTAAACATC